CCTGCCCTCTCCCCACCTCCGCAGAGCAAGCGCATCAATGAGGTGGGCAACCGTATCCACGTGGCCATGCCCAGGATCCGGGACGGCACAGCACGGCCCCCCATCATCCCAGCCAGCGTCCTGGCGAAGAAGGGCCTGCCCCCCGCCGCGCCGCGCCCCACAGAGCGAGACCTGCAGGTGGGGAGGGCGTTCTGTTGCTGGGGTGTTGGGGTGTTGGGGTTGCCATGGGTCGAGGTCGCTAGGCTTCCGACGTTCCTGCAACAGGGTTTGTGGATGTAGTAGCTCTTGACTCTGACTCAAACCCCGTCCCCGGAGATTTAGCACCTGTCCCTCATCTGTTTAAGAATCTCCTCCCCTCACCTTTCTCCTGTTGCCCCACCCCAGGAGGCCCAGGGCGGCGCAGGCGTGTACAACGCCGACCTGCGCAAGCAGTACGACCTCAAGGACGAGGCCTGGCGGTACGACATCATGCCTGAGATCGCCGACGGGCACAACGTGCTGGACTTCGTGGACCCTGACATCGACGCGCGGCTGGAGGCGCTGGAGCGCGAGGAGGCGGCCGCGGCGGCCGAGTTTGAGGCCCTGGACACAGGGCTGGCCGACGACCACCTGAGCCAGGCGGAGTGGGAGGACCTGCACCGCATCCGGGACCGCAAGAAGCGCATCGTGGCCGACAACCGGCGCAAGCGCGCGGCGGCGGACAACACGCCGCGCATCCCACGCACGCTCGACGCGCCGCGCAGCCGCACCGCTGAGCGCATGAAGGCGGAGCTGGGCGCGCTGGGGCTGGACGCCGCCGCCGCCGCCGCCGCCGCGCCGCGGAGCAGGTCGCGTGGGAGATCGCTGGTGCGCAAGCGCGAGCGCGCGGAGGGAGAGGGCATGGAGGTCGACGGTGCGGAGGGCGGCGAGGTCAAGCGCCTGCACAGCAGCAAGTCCAGGTGGGCAGAAGGCGCATGGGTGTGCTGTATTTGGAAGAGGGTGGGGGGTGCCTCCTGATGCCGGGGTTGCATGGGAGAGTGGGACAGCTCTGGGAGAGTGGGCTGGCATCCTGGACTGGCGTCCCAGACCGGCATGGGGGGTCAAGGAGGCCTCCGAGGGGGCCCCGTCCATGCGTGCCCTGGGTGTTCAACCTTGAGCACTAGGACCCTGCCGCTGCACTTGCATCCCCACATAGTCGCTCCCTGCCGTGGGCCCGTGCCACTGCAGGTCGATGTCGCGGGGGAGGTCAATGTCCCTGGCAGCCCCAGGGGCCAAGTCTGGGCTCAAGGATTCTGCGCAGCAGAATAGGGGCATCAAGATGGCAGGTGGGAGGGGAGCAGACCGCATGATTGGTGTGTGGAACGTGGGCAGGAGCTATGACCCTGCTCATCCAGCGCCTGTGCCGCCCCACAACTCAACCCTACCCACCCCCCGGCGCCCTGCAGACAAGGCCCAGATCCGCATGGGAAGGATGGCCCGCAAGGGCGAGGGAGACAGGCACATCCCCGACCTCAAACCCAAGCATCTATTTTCTGGGAAGAGGCCACGGGGCTCCACCGACAGGCGGTAGGCTCCGTCCTTTTGCCACACCAGCACACCTTCGCTTTGGCTCACTTCATGTACATGGGGACTGTAACTCTACAGCACGAAAGAAGTCTCCAGGTGATCTGCTGTTTTGGTAGGCAGCACGGCAGGCGGGGTGCAGATCCGGGATCTGTTTTGCTTAGGCAAACAGATCCCTACCGGGCTTGCGCCGGTTGCACAGCTGCTTCCCGCAAGCGGGATCGGACTGGCGCAGTTGGTTGCCTCGATTGGCAAACCAGAGGGGGTGGGAGGGCGGGAGAAGACTCAGCAGGGGGGAC